TAGAGATAGGGTCTGACTGTGTTACTTAGGCTACTATCGAATTCCTGGCCTCAAGCAATTCTCACATGCTCCTCCCAAAGTGCTGGGATTACAGGCATGAGCCACCATGCCCAGCCAGGAAAATGAATCTCAAGGTATTTCTCATAATGCCCTAAAGATAAACTGAATTTTTATGTCCCTTGAACACGATGGTCCTCTAAATAAAAAAAGTACATTTGCAAATTAGCTGGGCATGGTGGCGCGTGCCTGTAGTCCCAGCTACTCAGGAGGCTGAGGCAGGAGAATTGCCTGAACCCAGGAGGTGGAGGTTGCGGTGAGCCGAGATCGCTGCCATTGCACTCCAGCCAGGGTAACAAGAGCGAAACTCCGTCTAAAAAAAAAAAAAAAAAGTACATTTGCTTTGAATATCTTACATCAACACATTTTTTAAACATCAGGTTTCACACGAATTCTTGTTTTATGACTTACTATAATTACCTGAGTAATATTTCAAAGTATTTGAAACATTCAAAGAAAGGATTTTCTTTAATGGTCATGAAGAGAAAAGTAAAGTATGAAATATTTAGTATTAGAAACATCTTTATTTTAAAAAAATAAAGTTGAGTGCTTTCTGAATAATGGATTTTTCCCTTTAACCTTTAGTGTTTCTGAGAAACACTATAATGCTTAGAAACTGTTTGCAGTCTTTAAAGGGGCTCATTTCTGACCTCATCCTTCCTTGAATTTAGGGAAGCTTCTGCAATGGTGAGAAAGATGATTTTGGCTACCCCAAGATTAAGTTTCCTAAAACTGGTAAACACGTGACAGACTGATCTTCCTTTATCATCCTCTGTATCAGCAGTCCTCAACATTTTTGGAACCAGGGACTGGTCTCATGAAAGACAATTTTTCCAGGGACAGGAAAGGGGGTGTTGTTTAATTTATCATTAGATTCTCATAAGGAAAGATTCTCATAAGGAAAATGTAACTTAGATCCTTCACATGTGCAGTTCACAATAGGGTTTGTGATCCTGTGAGAATCTAATGCCACTGCTCATCTGACAGGAGGTGGAGCTCAGCTTTGCTTACTCTCTGGCCCCTCACCTCCTGGGGCCCTCACCATGGTGGGGACTTGGGGACCCCTGCTCTATATGATAACATTCCATTTTGCTAGTAGTATTGAATATCTGTTATGTACAAAGAACTGTTCTAGTCTTAGAGTTCTGCACCCTGAAGGGCTGAATGAAGAGTAGTCTGGAGCACTACAACCATTCCAGCCTTTTTAGGTTTCATGTTGATTCCAAGTTGCCACCAGGGCGCCCAACACAGTTTTGGTCTAATGTTGACGAGAAGGGTAATGGTAAGAGTCAGGGAGGGGCAGAAAGACATGGGGTCAGAGACAGACTAGAATGATGTAGGTAGGAGAAGAACCATCAGTGGGATCTAGGATAACTGCAGGCAAAAGGCAAAAGAGGCATAAGGTAAAAGGAAATCTTAAGTAGTTGCTAGTACTATGGAGACACAGGCAGTGTTTTAGTAAGCATATAGAAACCCACAGAAGAAACTGGTGGGAGTGCAACCAGTTGGAAAGAATACAGCTCAATCACAGCCATAGTTCTTGTAAGAGGAGCTGTGATACGTTGGACACTGTTATCAGTTCTAGCATCCTGAATGGACGGCACCTAGTCTTAAAAACAAAAACAAAATCACCCTGAACATGGAAAGCAGTTCCTCAGAGAATTGTGTCAAAAGCAAATATGTTGGTTCTTCATATCTTTTTGTAGGGCTTTTTTCCTGAGGTAGGAGGCAAGAATTTATATTGTGTAGTTTTCATGAACTAACAAGACAGTAATTACAACAGACAGCTATAGGGTATATGGCGGATAGCTCTCTCAGACACAGATGGGGGTTGGTAGTGAACTGGCAATTCTAAGTGAGGGTGTCAACAGGTAGGAATGGGAGAAATAGATGAGTTTTGAGGGAGGGTCTGTAGGAGGTATCAGTGGGCACTGATGAAGAGGAATAAAACAGAGGAGAAAGGGATGAAAAGAAAAGAGAATAATTTTAAAAGGAGGTCAAGGGCATAGGGAGAGGAACAACTATAAAACAAGGGATGGAGATAGGAAAGATAGACAAGTGATTTTAACATATTGGCATCAATCGTTGTTGGAGACAGTAGATCATATGATACAAGCCATAAAAAGGTAAAAAGATTAGTTCCTGATCCCAGGGTACTTTGAGTCTTCTGTGTACAGCACACACAATATCATCTTTATTAAATGGTCTACATTCTTATCCTGAGCCTGAAATTATTTTATTATAGTCTGATCACAAAATCCATCAACAATGGAAACTAATGGAAACCAAAATGCTTCAAAACAACCTGTTTTTCCCATAGTAATATCACAAGGGAGTTAGGCTGAGGTTTTAAAAGGGTAGGTATCTCAGGCTTTCTTACTGAGATCAAGGTTTCTCAACCTTGAGAAACGATTTCTATTGACATTCTGGGCCAGACAATTTTTTGATGTCAGGGGCTGTCCTCTGCACTGTAGGATGTTTAGCAGTATCCCTGGCCTCTACCCACCAGATGTCACTAACACTTCCCAGTTGTGATATCCAAAAATGTCTCCAGACAATTTGGTGGGCAGGCTAAGTGGGGCAAATGTCCACTGAGAGGCAGAATCACCCTCAGTTGAGGACCCCTGCTGTACAGGAAAATAATCAATCAGATTTCTATGACTGTTCCACATCATATACAATAAAATTCTACTTAGAAATGTTAATGTGACCAGCACTGCTGGATCCTTTCCCTACCCCAGAAAATTATTCCCAACATACCTAAACTCAATGCAGCAATCATGCTAAAAAGTAGTCTACTTTAGAAAGCCTTACCTCATTTACTAGCGAGGACCAGAAGAACTGTCCTTAAATATGACTTGCATAAAGAGCTTACACTGCATTTTTGCGGACTTTCCCCTTCCCTTCTTGCCACACTTCTGGTGCAAACTTCTCCTTTGCCCCTTGAACCAATCATGAATATAGACATTTTATCCTTGATCTAAATCTGTGCTGTCCAATACAGTAGCCACTAAGTACATTTGACTCTGCGACTGAGGAACTAAATTTTTAATTTTAATTAAATTTTAAAACTAGATAACTTTTAAGTATGTGTGAAATAATTTGGATACATGAAGCTATTTTTTTCATTTTAAATTTATGTAATCTCAATATAGA